CGCTCTGAAGGAACAGCACATCATGCTTTTCCTTCACAGATCTGTGCCATAAACTATGACTCCTGTGCACATGCGCGGAAATGACATCATTGCGGCTTGGCCAGCCAGACAGCTGGCCAAACCCGTGAACTCAGAAGGAAGACTGGCTAAAGATGGAAGCCCTGTCAGCGGTGACAGCGCACCAATGGAGGGCTTCATTTTATGGTAAGTCTCTCATAAAGGTAAGTTTACTTCCACTTTAAGGCTACTTTCACACTGATACACAGCAAAAACGCATTGGCGTTTTTACAGCGCTGTATGTTTTTTAAAGGGCATGTGACTTAAAAACTGCAACAAAAACACTTCTCAGTGGCGTTTTTGAGGAGCTTTTCAGGAGTTTTCCATTGATTCAACGGGAAGAGGCGTTTTTGGGGCATTTTTTTTTTTTTTTTTTTTTAACTCACCACACATTCCCCAAAGATGCTGCAAGCAGACGTTTTTACACCAAACCGCAAGCGCAACGCCTCAGTGTGAAAACATACATAGATATACATTCACATACATAGGGAAGCATTTTTCTGAAGCTTTTAAGGCGCTTTTTTTAATGCAAAAACGCTTCAAAAACTTCTCAGTGGGAAAGTAGGCTAAGTGTACTAACCCCTTCATTGCCACAGCCCCAATTTCTATCAAGTGGGAGCTGGCATGCGCCCAGAAAAAGGAAGACGTATTACCTACCAATAGAAATGCCACTCAGCAGCCTGGCTCGTATAATCATTGCCAATGTTATTAAAGAGAAAGAGACCATAAGGCTGGTATGCTTAAAGCGGAACTATCCTCACCTGAGACATCCTGGAGCTCCTCGCAGGCCACTGACATCTTTGATTGGCTGGCTTCCATGTATGGAGCACTGGCAGCTTTCACTGGCCAGGCCGGTATGATGTCATTGGGGTTCAGTCAGCTTCAGAACTGACAACTCTCTATATGCATAGCACTCTGTACAGGGGAGGATAGGCAGATAGGCAATTTTACTGCAGAACAGGCAAATCATATCTCTTCTGCATTAAAAATCCTGCCTGTCTGCCCATATTAATAATTTCCATAAAGTTCCACCTTAAGAAAATGTGTCCGCCTTAACTACCAATGAGGGTACAGGATCCGAGAGTCTCAGGTTTTTATGCATCATGCTCCATATATGTAGGAAAGGCCTACAAATGCCAGTGTTGCTTTGGTGTAAGGTCCAACTTGTTTGTGTGTGATGAGTCTAAAGTCCAGCTGAAATATCACCACCCTACTTTAGCCAGTTAGCGGGACTGAACAAAATGTTACATTCAAAAGACTAATGCAGGTCACACATGGTTGGGATTCCAAATGATTTTGTACGAAAATCGGACCTAAGACTAATCGGCCGATTTTCGCTCTGTTAGTTGGGCAATGGCATTGGCCGATTTTCGTGGTTCCTCCCCATTTCTTTTATGGGGCATGCTGGAAAATTGGTGAAAAATGACCAATTTTCAAAATCATTGATGGCACCATCAGATTACAGAACGAAGTTTCGATTTTCAGACAAAAAAATTGTTCGGAATTCGAATCATGTATGGCCTGCATAAGGGCCGTTTCAGACTAGAATGCGGTGTGGTAAAGCCAAGTTCCTGTGCAGCTTCCGACACCACATTCCAATCATACTGCCCTCGCGATCTGCTGTGGGTGTCGCACAAGATGGCACAGTACAAAAGTATCATGCAATCTGGTTGCTGTGTGTTTCAAAAAGTACCGTAGTGCATGCACTCATTTTGGTGCAGTGCAATTTCACCCCATTCTAAATGAATGGGGCTGAAATCGCACTTTGCAGAATTTCTGTACGATTCTCATGCAGTGCCTAGTGTGAAAAGGCCCTAAGGACCCATTCACACCAGAAAGTGTACATCTACTGTGCGTTTTTTTTTTCATGTACATTGGAATGCATATGATGCACATTTTTAAGCGCTTTTACATGCAGTTGAGCGTTTTTCCATCTGTGTTTGTCCTTTGAGGTTCCTTCTGTCTTCTTTCTTTGGGCTTTTATGTTGTGATGTGTTGCGGTACATTTGTGTGCACTTACATGCAGCATGAAAAATGCGGCTTGTTTTCACTGCACTGTAATGCTGTGAACTATGCCCATAGGATAACCTGGATTTTGGACCATCTATGCAGCTGGAATGCAATAAAAAATGCATCCAACTGCATCTGGTGTAAATGGGCCCTAAAGTTTGGAGTATATTTTAAGGAGCTCAGCACTAAAGACAGGTCACCATTCCTCCATTTTGCAACAGAGAAAAAGAAAAGGGAAAAAAAAAAAAAAAAAAAGGAAAACAAGTCTAACCTTTCTTACTAACCAAACTTTGTTCTACATACCTCGCTTCCCTTGCATGCTGCGATCACATGGCCAAGTGAACAGGTGCTATCTGAATGGGTGACATTTGATCTCCGCTTTAGACGATAACTATCTAGGGGAAAGGTCTCAAGTATATAAGACAACTGCCGAGAGACATAATATCAGGTACAGCCTAATAAATTAAACGATTAGCAGTGCCACAAGACAAATAATATAAATGTCAACACAAGGAGTACTGTAATATAGTTCTATCAACTGTAAAACAAAAGAAACAAGATCACTTACAAGTCATTAAAACTAAACCAAAAGCTGACAAAGAATGGCAAATGCATATACTCCTGCGCTGGAAGATGGACTCCACAAAGGCTAGAACCACATGTACGATGCCTAGAAAATGCATGCCTTGCTGCAACGGACCAGGGGAATCCAAATGTACTGCATGCAAAAAAAAAACAAATAAGGACACACAGGCCTTTTAAAAAATCATTTATTGTTTAAAAGAAGTGGGAAAATATTCACAAAGGATAAAATGTCAAGGGCAGATCATAAAAAGTACAGCAAGGTCCAGTCACACTGGATAATATCCGTAATGGGACCCCTAGACCTCCAAATGAATGGCGCGTTTCGATGGGCTCTGAGGAAGAGGCAAGTACTCAAAACGCGTCAAGAAAAGTAAGTGTCAACTGCTCGAAACGCCCATCTGGCTCTGAGGAAGAGGCAAGTCCTCGAAACGTGTCAAGAGGAAGAAGCAAGTACTTGAAACGCGTCAAGAAGAGGAAGAGGCAAGTACTCTAAATGCCCATCTGGTTCTGAGGAAGAGGAAAGTCCTCGAAACGCGTCAAGAGGAAGTAGTTGAAACGCGTTAAGAGAAAGAGGCAAGTACTCTAAATGCCCATCTGGCTCTGAGGAAGAGGAAAGTCCTCGAAACGCGTCAAGAGGAAGAAGCAAGTAGTTGAAACGCGTCAAGAAGAAGACGAGGCAAGTACTCGAAATGCCCATCTGGCTCTAAGAGGCAAGTGTTCGAAACGCGGCAGTCATCTGGAGGTCTAGGGGTCCCATTACGGATATCATCCAGTGTGACTGGACCTTGCTGTACTGATGTGATGTTATATGATGTGCCCTTGACATTTTATCCTTTGAGAGTATACTACCACTTCTTCTAAACAAGAAATGATTTTTTAAAAAGGTAATGCACTAGGCCTGTGCGCCCTATTTTTGTTTCTTTGCATGTAAACCACAAGCTGCCCTGACTTACCTAAACCTTCAAAGGAAATAGAATTTGACGTTTAAAAGCATTGGATCCTTCCGATGTTCATGTTATATAAAAGGTGCCCCTTGGGCAGGGGAGGGGCTAATTGTAGCATGTTCCAATGAAATTATTAAACAGTAAACTGAGCTTGCCAGTCGTCCTTTTACCACAGTAACGTTTATCTCCATTCTGATAATGCCTTGAAATTATACATTTCTTTAAAGGTTATCAATAGCTCTTATAAAGAGATAAATGTGTGTTGGATAGTTATGGATGGATTATGCCAAAGCAATAAAGATTGTCATCACTTCAATAGGTTAAAGTAGGATGACTAAAGCAGCACATAAATAAGTAAGTTTTTTCTCTGGAAAAAAAAAAATATTACTAAATTCCCCCATCCACATACTTTATGTGGATGGGGGAATCCTCCCCGCTGAGCTATTTTACTGACTGTGGAGAGACTTCCCTAAGAATACACCAATCAACACTGCAGGCCATAGCTGGCAGCACAGATTGGACAGGGAAAATCTGACAGGGTGGTTGTACAGAAGTCAATTGGTAGATTAAAATGTTTCTAAAGCCAAAACTTTCTTTTACCTTAATTCCCTTCATTAGTGCAAAAAACATTTTATTGCTGTCTGTCTTCCCCCCTCCCTGTGTAAAAAGGAAGAGAGGGGAGAACAGATCCAGCGCTGTGTATGGCTGCATCTATTCTCCCCTCTCTTCACACAGACTCAAGCACTGTCAGGCTGTCACTCAAATGCAGGGAGGAAAAGCGGGAGGTGGGGCTAAGTCCCGCTGTGTGTGTCTATGGAGCGCAGCTTCATAGACGCACATAGCTCGGTAATGAACACGCACTGTGTGCCTCCATAGCAAGCAGCTTGCTATGGGGACACACAAAAAAAAAAAGAGGAGGGGCCAAGATCGCCAGCAGGCTACCCTAAAACAGGAGGTTCGGGACCGCTCTGTGTAATACCATTGCACAGAGCAGGTAAGTATAACATGTTTATTATTTTAATCAAAATCATTTTACTCTTAGTGTCACTTTAACCACTAGCCTACAGGGCACTTATACCCCCTTCCTGCCCAGGCCAATTTCCAGCTTTCCGCGCTGTCACACTTTGAATGACAATTGCGCGGTCATGCAACACTGTACCCATATGAAATTTTTATCATTTTTTTAGAGCTTTCTTTTGGTGGTAATCATCTCTGGGATTTTTATTTTTTTCTTAAACAAACCAAAAACCACTGAAAATTTTGAAAAAAAAACACAAACTTTTTTTTCTTAGTTTTTTATTATACAATTTTGTAAATAAGTGATTTTTCTCCTTCACTGATGTGCGCTAATGAGGCTGCAGTGATGGGCACTGATAGGCTGCACTGATAGGTGGCACTGATGGGCACTGATGAGGAGGCACTGGTAGGTTGCACTGATGGGCATTGACAGGCGTCACTGATGGGCACTGAAAGGCAGCACTGATACATGACACTGATATATGGCACTGATAGGCGGCACTGACTGGCACTGATGCGCACTGATAGGCGACACTGACTGTCACTGATGCGCAGCACTGATAGGTTCACTGATTGGCATTGATAGGTGGCACTGACTGGCACTGATGGGTGACATTGAAAGGCAGCTCAGATGGGCACTGAAATGTGATATGCACTGATATGTGGCATTGATGTGGCACTGATGGGCACTGGCACGTGGCACTGACAGGTGGCACTTCTGGGGCCACACTGATCATCAGGGCACACTGATCAGGTGGAGGGACAGAATATCACTCGATTCCCCCATCAAGTCAGTGTTGATGGGGGAATGCCTCCCGCAGAGCTATTGTGTTCTGTCAATTTCAAAGACTGGGATGCGATCCATGTGGTTCAGAACATGCCAGTCATAAAGAACAGACATATGTCAGCTGAATACACAGTGATGTTCAATCTTCATGTGACAGTATCAAACCTAGCCTGTCATAGTTGATCCCTGTACAGGTAACACATACATCCTGCAACACATATATCTGATGACTGAACTGCCATGACCTGTCTCAGACTAGGAGGTAAAGTTCAGCCTGATGACACAAAACTGAACGTTTTGTACTAATTGTCTATAGGAGAGACAAACAGGTTAGACAGATAAAACATAATACTGTACACTCGTACTACCAAATAACTAGGTTGGAACATAAAGTACCATCCTTGCATATGACCCATGTGTCAATTGTATCTAAAAAGTGATACTAAAGCTTTGTTTTTTTTTTGTTTTTCTTTTTTTAAGTAAAACAACAAACATGTCTATAGTTACCTGCTCTGTGCAGTAGTTTTGGACACAGCTGCCCCGATCCTCTTTTTGGGTCCTCCTACAGCACTCTCTTTCCCCTGGAGCAGTGCCCCCAGAGAAAGCTGCTTGCCCTGAGGGGCAGCGCTGCGTGCTTGCTCCCGAGCCACTGCTCTATACATCCATAAATGGCCCCACCCCCGCTCTCTCCTCATTGGGAGCCAATGGGCTACTGCTGCCGTCTCATCCAATGAGGTAGGCGAGTCCCCATCCAGCCAAGGCTAATCACATCACTGAATCAGAGGGGACTCGGAAAAGGATTGGCTGCACAGTGTTTTTACCTTCATGCATAGAATGATACTAAACACACACTGTTAAATTTACATTGTCCCTCCTTTTTCAGTATGCGGATGATGGCACTGTAATTATTTTAATTAAAAAAAAAATCTAAGTACATTTTTTCTTATCTATATACTGTACAGCTGTCACATGACCTAGCTCTTTCCCAGCCTTTCTGCAGGGAAACATAAGCAGGAGGAACTTCTAGTGCTCTGCTGCTGATCACATGTTCAAAAGAAAAAAAAAAGCCTTTGGGATGCAGAGTAAAAATAAACAATTAATATCAATAAACTGTTTTAAGTAATCATACAAATATAAATTTGTAATCAAAACTTTATTATTTTTTAGCAATAACATGGTGTGGGCGGATTTCTGGCAGTGACAGGTTGTGTCATGCCCCTCCAGCCTGTGTCTTAGTATAACAGGGATGTCAAGCCTCCATCAAACAAGATGTATTATCCCAACCCCCCATTGTGTTTAGCTTTAACTACTGACAAATGAATTACATGAGTTCTGTTGGTGATTTAGGCCTCATGCACACAGGAATTTTCTGCAGCCACTTTTAGGGGCTTCAGGCTTTTTTTTTTTTTTTACTGCTTCCAAACGGCCATGTTATTCTATGTGTCCGTGCACAGAAGCTTTTAGTACAGTAGCGTTTACCAGCAGGAAAAACTCCCAGGGTCAGAATGTCCAGGAGCAGCAACGATTTAGCAGAAAAAACCGCTTGACAGGCATAAACGCATCTGAATGCGCCTAAACGTGTGATAACAGTAGGCACGTTTAGCGTTTGAACATTAGTTCACTTCAATGGCCAGAATAAATTCTGATGCTTAAAAAATTAGCCTAACTCTTGTAAAAGCACTAGATGCTTTGACAAGTGTCAGCCATTTTTCTGCCAAAACGCTGCTTCCAAGAGGAGGAGTATTTTTAAAACGTCCTGTCTGCATAAGGCCTAAATGTAAGGCACCCATTAAAATGTTACCCCGGAAAACCTGAACAATTCAGATATAGCAGAAGTTATAAAATAAGTAAGAAATAATTAAGAAATCCATTGGCCCCAACACTACAAAAATGTAATACAAGGCGGCTAATAGAAAACCCAAATTTACAAAGGGTGGAATTCCAGACCAGTCTGCCTATTTTCTTCAAAGTTCAGGCACACACCAGTTAGACCAGATGTGGCCACTGCAGCTTATCCATGTATTTGCAAATGTGTGCAAACCAAACTCCTTGTTTTTAACGTGAACTATTAGGGCCGATTTGGTTTGTTGCAGGCTGGCGAGTAAGCTGGGAAATTCCGTTTGTTGTTTTTTGTCATGTGTTGCCCTTCCATGTGCTCTTTGCTGCAAACGCTAGTTATAGGTTGGGGTGGTTGCCATTTGTTTGTACTGTTGGTGAAGAGGTGCACTGGCTACCTTCAGCTGCCGTTGAGCTGGATGTCCGGTGCATCCCTATACCTTTAAGGAGGGGTGGGTTCCCTCCAGCCATAGCTGCCCTTAATCTGTCCATTACTGTATACGTATTTCAACTTGGGAGACTCTCAAAATTATAGTGTTAGAACTACAGTACACTGGGGTGCCATGATGTGGCCACTGCAGCTTATACATATATTTGAAAATGTGTGCAAACTAAACCCCTTGTTTTTAATGTGAGCTGTTAGACAGGAAAATTCAGTGTGTTGCAGGCTGGCTGGTAAGTAAGCTGGGAATGTTTGTTTTTTGACATGAATTGCCCTTCCATGTGCTCCTTGCTGCAAAGGCTAGGTGGGGTGGTTAGCATTTATGGTCACATGGTTACCAGCAGATTGAAAAAAAAAAAAAAAAAAAAAAAAAAAAAGGATCAGATTCCCCCATCCATACATTTGATGTGGATGGGGAATCACTATCGTTGTGCTATTGTGTTCTGACAGCAGGGAGATGTCATCTCTGTCAAAATACTGTGATCAATGCTGACAACTATGGCCGGCGACATTAATCTTTAAGGGAAAACCCCAACAGGCTGCTTGTACACGTCAATCAGTAGATTAATTTGCATACAACCAGCCTACCCATACTTTCATTGAAATTCGCCCGGTCCCTGCTGAACTGGCCGAATTCGAGCCATGTATGACTGCCTTTAATTTTACTTATTTCCTCATGTCTTCAGGAAATCATAATTTCTCTTTCTGCAGGAGCACACCCTGAACTTCCTTTTTCTAGGTCATAATAATGCCCCCCCCCTCCCGCTTTGGCGGTATGCAGAATACATTGCACATGCAGTGCATTATAGGACCCGACAGACAGACAGCCTCCTGGTGTCATCAGCAAAGGACCGGGCATGCAGTGACATTTGGTGGCTTATTGCAGGTCACAGTTGGACTACTGGGCAGTTGAGTATGTTATTTGTGCTCAGGACAGCAGCCCAGGAGGGGTCCCTCTTTACCTGAACTCTGATGACTAGTCTACACACGTGATATGCAGTTCCTATGCCTTTACCTGCACACAGCGGTCACAGGTCCATACAGCCAAGCTTTCCCATCTGACAAGTATAAACATACATTACATGCCAAATTAGAAGGTGACTCGGGTCACCCAGTTCTGTAGAATGCCAAGTAGGCAAAAGGGCAAAATCTAAATTTAATTTATAAACAAAATGTTTTAAGCAATATGCTATGCAGCAACTGCAAAAAATTCCATGTCTGGAAAATGTTCAGGATATTCAAATGTTGGCAGGAATAAGGACGGGATGAAGGCATCTTTAGAGCAGCCTATGGAGTAGGGGTTATAATCTGCCAGGCTTTCCTGAGGTTTCTTTACTTTCTGATATGTCCCTCAACAAAGAGACAGTTAAACCATATGGTTGAGCTGCATTTTTACCACCCCCAACTGCACCTCTCAAGCTCTAAAGGCAACAAACAGGTTCTTATACCTGCTGTGATTGCAGCAGGAATTAAACCCCCCCAGGTGAATGGGGCCAAGTTGCAACAACCCCACAACCGTGTGATTTGCACATGCTTGTGGCATTGTGATACTAAAACAGCGGGTTTAAAACGGGTGGTGTGGAGGTGACATATCACCTCTTCACCGCCTGTCAAATGCCTCTGAAAAGCAGCTCAGGTATGGGTTGCTTTCCAGAAGAGCGGAAGTCATTGCTGCTGATGTTAAAAGCCCCAGAAAACAAAAAAAGCAGCTCTGATCATACAAAATGAGGGGTAAAGATTAGGTAACATACATTTATACACACACACATAAACATTACAAACACACACACAAACACATACAAACACATAAACAACACACATACAAACAAACACACCCAAACACAAACATACACACACAAACATACAAACACACAAACATGCAAACACACACTTTTTAAAAACTGTAGTACTATACCTGCACTGCTGGGTACTACACTTCACAGTAGTGCACTATAGGAGGAGGCAGAGCAGGTCATGACTCTGGAACACACCGCCCCTTCCACTGCTTTACATGTCATTCTCTTGAGTCCTGACGGAGCTCCAGCTGTGCTGATACACAGTTCAGGGGACCAGAGGGAGCTCATTCTAACAGCCTTTCCCAACCAGGATGCCGCGGCACCTCTGCTTAACCCCCGTTTGAGAAAGGCTGCTTAAGCCCTGGTTCACACCAGTGCAACTTGACAGTTCAAAGTCGCATGACAAGTCTCACCCCATTTGCAGCAATGGAACCGTACAAATTGTTTAGACTTAATAAAGGTTCCTGCACAATTTTGTGCGATTTCATTGTGACTTGCACTAACATTTGTTTAATGAAGTTTAAAGCAGCAATGAAATGCACATTAAAAATCGCACTGATCTACAGCTTTGAAATCGCACTGAAGTACCACGACGTCTAAACCGCACTGGTGTGAACCAGGGCTTAGGCCCCTTCAAAGCTAGGGCGGACTCCACCAGGAGTCCACTTCTTCAGTGGGGGATCTGTCCACTGATCCCTGCTGAGCAGATGGATGGCTGGTTCGGACATGGAGTGGACACAGACACAGTCTGTTCTCCTCTATGGGCGGTCAGATGTAAAATGAACTGTCTGTCCAGTTACACCCGACTGCCATCCGGATTGGATTTAGGTGGGTGAAAACATACAGGTCCATTTACACCCACATTGCATT